TACTAAATTGTAGGTAATGGAAGAAAATAATGTTGTTGATGAGTTGGCTAGTTGTGGTTGGAAGCAGAAATTGGGTATATCATTTGACTCTGTACAAGTTGCATATGACTTTTACAATAACTATGGCGGAAAGGTTGGCTTTAGTATTAGAAAGGCGTATGCACACAACAACAAACAAACTAAGGAAATAATTTCACAGACTTTTATATGTTACAAAGAGGGAACTTGGGGTATTGACAAGCGAGATCCACTAGTAAAATTTTCGAGACATTAGGTGAGATGTGGTTGTGGTGCCCGATTGAGTATCAAGTTAGATAGAAATTTATGAAAATATGTTGCAATTGATTTTGTTGAACATCATAATCATGACCATGCGCATCAAGAGTGCATTCATTTGTTGTCATCCTAAAGAAAAATATCTATCACCCAAGCAATTGAAGTAGAATTGGCTTCAGAATCTCGAATTCCTCTTAGGTCTTCTTATGAGCTATTAGGTAGGGAATCAGGTGGAAGAGCAGCACTTGGCTTCACGAAATTGGACTAAAAAAATTACTTGATATCGAAGAGACAAAAAGATTTGGAATATGGAGAAGCGGGTAGTGTGTTGTAATACTTTCGTAAGAAAACTGTGGAAAATCCATCATTTTATTATGCAATCTAATTAGATTGTGAAGAGCAGATAAGTAATATATTTTGGGCCGATGCTCAAATGATAATGGACTATGCTCAATTTGGTGATGCAGTGACCTTTGACACTACTTACAAATTAAATAACGAGCATAGACCTTTTGGAACCTTTGTTGGATTTAATCATCATCGAGAAACAATTATATTCGGTGCAGCGTTGATGTATGATGAGATTACTGAATCATTCACATGGTTGTTTTAGATTTTTTTGGAGGCAATGTCAAACAAAGCTCCGAAAACTATTTTCACAAATCAAGATGCTGCAATGGCTAAGGCCATTCCAATTGTCATGCCTACTACAAACCATCGACTTTGCACATGGCATTTGATGCAAAATGCGGTGAAGCATGTAAGTTCTCTTTTTGAAAATGTAGGGGTGAAGGGTGAAGGGTGTGTTTTCAAAATTTATGTATGAAATTGATGAGGAAGAAGAATTTAGAATACAATGGGAACAAATGCTTGATAGGTATGATACACGCAACAATCATTGGTTAGAGCAAACTTTTAGTGTGAAGGAGAAATGGGAATGACCATATATTATGAATTCTTGGGAAGCTGGAATGAGTATTACTCAACTAAGTAAATCTTTCAATGCATTTTTGAAGGATTATCTCAATTGTGATCATAACTTGATGGAATTTTTCATACATTTTGAGAGGGTGCTCTATGAGAAGAGATATAAAGAATTAGAAGTCGAGTATAATTTGTCCAAAAAATTGCCAAGTGTTTCAATTCCAACTTTGATGTTAAAGCAAAAGGCAGAGATTTACACCAAAACAGTTTTTGAGGAATTTCAAAATGAGTACGTGCAGTCCATTGAAGCGTCCATTGTAGGCACTATTAATGATGGTAAGAGTACCATATTCACAATTAGAACGGTGGTAGATGGAAAAAAAAAGAAGATAAGATTGTGACAATGGATAGAAATGGTTCTTTGAGTTGTAGTTGCAAAAAGTTTGAAGTGAAGGGCATATTGTGTCGACATTGTCTAAAGGTGCTTAGAGATATATTGGAGGTGTTTGGTGGGGCTTTTTTGAGCTAGCTTATGGCTTCTGGCTCTCAAAAAGTTATTTTGGACTGTTTGGTTAAACTTATTTCAAACAGTTTTTGATTCTAACAACTTATTTTAAGTCAAAAAAGTTGATTCTGAGAAGCTGCTCACCCCTTACTTCTGATTATCAGCTTCTGCTGTGGACATGTTAATTCACGGTTATACTCTTAGATTTTTTTATTTTTTATTTTTTTTAAAATAGAAAAAGACTCAAATGGACTATTAAATATTATTATTATTTTTTATGAAAAATGTAGACAAATAGTGAATAATAAAAAATAAAAATTAATTGAAAAAGCTACTTCACAGCTTATTTAACAAACACTGCTCAGCAACTTAAATCTATAATCCAACAGCTATACCAAATAGATTAACAGCTTCTGATTAAATTCATAATCTATAATCTGTTAAGCTATAATCTATAATATGTTTTAACAGCTACACCAAACAGCACCATTCAATGCAACAGACCTTCCTGCACAATACATACTGAAACATTGGACTAAAAAAGCAAGGGCCGAAAGTGTGAAAGATAGCTATGGGTATGACGTCAAGGCTGATGTGAAACGACGTCAAAGCGACCGATATAGGTCATTGATGAATATGTTTAGAGCAATAGCAAGTAGAGCAGCTGAAAGTGAAGAAACTTATCATTTGTCACTTTCAAAAGGTGAAGAATTGAATGTAATGGTTGAAGACAAATTAAGTGTGCACACTTGTGGTCAAGGGAGATCACTGAATTGAGAAATTCTTCAACTAACACATGCCCACAGAGTGATGAAATAGATTGTCTAATCCAAGCTAAGGGACTGAAAAAAAGACAAGCAGCTAGTAAAGGAAGAAGGAAGATTAAGGGCAGGATGGAAAAATCTATTACAAAGAAGAAAAGAATGCAATCTAAGCAGGTAATAACACGAAAAAGTTGCATATGATTAAATGATATTTTGTTATGTGTGATTGTTATGTGTTATGTGATATGTGTTACCAATTTTGTGTTATGTGTGTTGAAAAAATAATGAATTAAATAAATTGGTCGTTTGTAGGGTGATGCTTTTTATACTCCCGAAGGTCAATCTGAGCCTCTTGTCGCCATGGGTAATAATTCTAGTCAGGTAATATTTACTATTGTGTGCAACCTTGTATTAATCTTGTTTGGATTAGTTATTCTTGCAACTAGTAGGGTGATATTTATTATTTTGGGTCTTTTGTGATGCATGTAGAGTGGTTCTTTTTGTGCTTCCCAAGGTCAATCTCAACCTTCTTCTGCCATGGGTAATTACTCAATACAGGTAATATTTACTATTGGATACAACCTTTGACATGCATAGACCTTAAGGAAATTGAACCTCATATGGAACCATTGTTTTACTTTATTAACTAAGATTCCCACAAATCTTCAATTGGTTCTTCTTGCAATCTAGTCATGTGAAATTTGTTTTTTTCCTGCATTGGTTGTATAAGGTGTTGCTGTTTGTACTCCCCAAGGTCAATCTCGACCTCCTTTTGCCATGGGTAGTAATTATGTTGAAGTAATATTTCTTATTGTGTGTTTTTTAAAATGAAAATGTATTATTAATTTTTTTTTCATTTCATATATTATTTTCTTTATGTTGATTTACTTTAGGGTCATGGTCATGGTGTCTATATTTCTCAATCTCGACCTAAATCCCAATCTCAACCTCCTTTTGCCATGGGTTGTACAAGTGTTCATCATGTCATGTATCCTACATATGATGTGAGTTATAATTGCTTACATACTTTACATTGAAATGGTAGTATACATTGTATAAATATTTTGATAAATGTAGCACTATTGCAGTGAAATAACACGCCTCAGTCAATGCCTTTAGTCTATCCCACTCAGACATCGTTTCAGGAGTTGCTTCAAGGTACTAGTGCTCAACACTTTGCAGTCCAATTGTCGCAAGTCTCACATAGTCCTGCTGATAGTCATGTGGATGGACATCCTTGGAAGGCTTATACCGAACGATGATGTTATTATATTTTTTCATTTTTTTTTTCATTTCATATATTATTTTCTTTATGTTCGTTTACTTTAGGGTCATGGTCATGGTGTCTATATTTCTCAATCTCGACCTAAATCCCAATCTCAACCTCCTTTTGCCATGGGTTGTACAAGTGTTCATCATGTCATGTATCCTACATATGATGTGAGTTATAATTGCTTACATACTTTACATTGAAATGGTAGTATACATTGTATAAATATTTTGATAAATGTAGCACTATTGCAGTGAAATAACACGCCTCAGTCAATGCCTTTAGTCTATCCCACTCAGACATCGTTTCAGGAGTTGCTTCGAGGTACTAGTGCTCAACACTTTGCAGTCCAATTGTCGCAAGTCTCACATAGTCCTGCTGACAGTCATGTGGATGGACATCCTTGGAAGGCTTATACCGAACGATGATGTTATTATATTTTTGGATTTGGGTGTATTTTTTTATGTTGTTTGGATTTGGGTATTTTTTATGGACATCGTTTTTATGTACTTTTTTTAATGTTTAGGAACAATGTTCTTCTCATTCATTGCAATGGGAACAATGTTTGCAATGGGAACAATATTCTTTTTTGATGTTAGAGATGGTTATGATGTTAGGTGTTGGTTGTATGACTAGGAAGAATATGTTGGGTTTATGATGTTGGGTATTGGCTGTATGTTTGTTTCATAGGTGTTGGTTGGCTTTATGATATTGGGTGTTGGGAACAATGTTATGTTTTTGATTCTTATGTTATGAATGAGAGCAGAATACATGCATATGATATGATTTTTATGCTATGATTCTTATGCTATGATTTTTTTGACTTTTTAGAGTAGAATTGTTGAGAGCAGAATTCTTATGCTATGATTCTTGAGAGCAGAATTCTTAAGGTATGATTTTTTTGATTTTTATGTATGTTTGATCCATGGTGCAGAATGCATGCATATATATATCTGGGATATGGATGGACAGATTCTTTATATATATTTGAGCAGAATGCATGCATATATATATATATAATTAAATTGGTACAATTTATTTAAAATGGGTCATCTAAATCGTTATTGGTCATTACAAGCTAAAACAATTCTGTTATAATTGTGAATATACATAACACCCAATTTCATTAATTAATACAATTGACATAACATAGTAACTTTATTAATTAAGCATTGTTTGGATTTTACATACACATATAAAAGCTTCAAAACCAAATACAAGTTCTACAAGTAGTGGTTACATTCAGTAGAAATGGTTACATTCACTTGAGCAGCATCACTAGCATGGCAAAACCAACCATCACTGTGGTTGTCAACATCATGAATTTCATAGCTTTAAGTCGTTCTCGTTGGTTTGCCTCAAGTCGTTCCAAGATATTCAAAACTTCATTGTTTCTCTCAAAATCATAATCATACCCGCTCTCATCTTCATTCTTCATATGAATAGCTTTACTTCTTCTTCTTTGGATATTTGATGCATTCCCAATAAAAGCCACTCCCCACGCAAAGTAGTCACAAATCTTATCTGCACACTTGAAATACAATCTCCCTGGATTTTTCTTTGATTCTGATATGTACACTCCTGCTTTTTTCTGACATTTGCATCGTTTATTTTGCAAGAATCCAGCATCATTGTTTGAACCCATTGACATGTTAATCCTAATTACAAGTAAACACAAAATTCAATTTCAGATATAACCATAGAACCTTAATCCAGACAGCTAATTAAGCATGTAAAAAATCAAAAGAGTTATGACCACAATAATTATCTATCTTTATGAGCAAATGTAAATCGCTTGAAGTAATACATGGTGTTGTGTTCCAGGACTCATGGGTAATCATCCATCGAAACAAAGGAGTTTGATTTTGTGTGCAACATGCTGATTATTGCTGTTGAGGAACGATACAGAGATGCAGGTATACTATTACCGTGGAATTATAATTTAAACATTGGAGATTTACATTGGATTCCAAATAGCTTCATTTTCCTTACCCAGTATAATAGTTGTTTTACTACTATTTGTAAGAAATGGTTTTGGAAAATAGATTTTTTCTTAACTTTGGTCCATTTTTTAGGTGGGACCCATTCACCAAAGTTGGCAGGTCTAAGTAGTAACGCGTTTTTTGCCGCGTCGTGATTCACGTGGTACATTTGGTTGCTCAAAACCATTATCGGGTGAATGAGAAATTGAAGTCAAAGAGAGCTCCATGGAAATTGTGTTTTTGGTGAAATTTCCTAAAGGTTTGGTTTAAAGCTTGTCCGAGATTGATTTGGTGGGTAAACTTTGAGTGGGTTTATAAGGTTTGAGGTTGGAACTTGGGGTAGGCCCTAAGGGGCACCCAAGTTTTGTAGAGGGAGAGGTTATGGATAAAGTGAGCTAGACCCATTGGATTCAAAATAAACACATACACGCGCCGTTTCCACTTTATCTATTTGGCTGGGTTGGGCTTGAGCTTAGACACGGGTGCATGGTGTGAGGTTGGGTTGGGCTTGTCCGGCCCAATACCTATTTTTTTTGGCCAAAAATATTTGAATTTAATTTTATTTTTTTGGTAAAATAAAATTTGTCCAGAATTCAAAATTAATTCAAAATCTGTCCAGTTTTCCCTCCACCCAAACAGGTCTATATCTAGCCAATATAAACCGAACAGATTCAAATCTGTTTAAATTTCAAACCCAAACAGTTTGTATCTGTTGAAACAATACCTTACTTGTTCAAATTCAAACCATACCTGTTGGATTCAAATTTGTACAGTCACCTTTATATCTATAAATAGGCAGTCCCTCCCTTGGTTTTTTAACTTAATTTTCGTTCCAAATTCTGCCTGCTCTCTCTGCATTTTGCTGCATTTAATTTTCTATGAGAAAGAGTGAACATAAAATGTGTTCATTTTGCGAATAATTTGTAGTGCTGCTATTATTCGCAGTTGATCATTTTATCCTAGGAGATAGACGTCCACATTCTGAAAGCACTGTTTATTAAGGCCGAATTGTACGTCATTGAGGCCATTAATTAAGATCTCTTAACTTCACTTGCTTGTCAAACTGTATACTTTATGTGTGTTGAATGTCAATCAGGTTGTACATAGTTGAAGCATAAAATGGGCAAAATGACAGAATTTAGAGAGAGTTAACTTTCTCGCACGTGCATTGACTTTCTCGCACGTCGTTGACTTTTTCTAAGAAAACGTGCCAGATGTTTTAAACCTATTTGGAAAGACACCAGAAGTATAAATAGGCAAGAAAAAGGCTGGATTAGGGTTCGGAAGTTGTTTTTTCAAGAAAGGGAGGCTAGGGTTTGAAAGGAGAAGGAACTTAAAGCTTCAAGCTTGTCTCCCATGGTGGCTTCTTCTCCATCTACCCCCTTCCACTCCTCCATGAGTGGCTAGTCTCCTTTTCTAGGGTTTTGATGAAACCCTAGCCATGTAATTAGTTCTTCTTTTTGATTTTCAATTATGTAAAGGTTTGAACAATTGTATGGTGTTTTAGAAGTTTCATATATACACTTTCCATTATTTCTTCAAGTATTCAGGTTTCTGTGATTGTTGAATGTTTTCCATACAAGAGTTTTCTATTCTTTCACATTTAAGGTATGAGACGAATCATGCTACGAGGGACGAGTCGTGTCACTACCCTAGTTTAGAGTGAACGATTCGTACTACTTGAGATGGTTCGCGCTCGTACATTGAACGTGATGATTTTCTTGTTAAATGCTTTGAACTTGTAGTTGCAAAGCATTATTCCGTTCGAACCATAACGTAATTGATTTCAATTGGAAACCCTAATTACGTGACTAGTGGTGGACTTTTTGCCCTAGGTTTTCCCCAAATTCAGTAAATCCACTTTCAGTTATAATTGATAATTTAATTATTTAGTTTAATTTATTCATTATTAAATTAGGTTATGATCAATCATTCTTTTCATCAAAATTAATTTAGTAATTTATCAGTTAAATTAGTTTAATTTCACAATTGTCCCTGTGGATTGATACTTGGACTTGCTATTATTCTAAAAGAATTTGGTGTAGTTTAGTGTTTAAATTTGGTGTGTTCAACGACCTTTCAAATTTTGGCGCTGTTGCCGAGGACTTCTGGCGAAATTAGTTAATTTAAAGTTAGATTCTTATTTTAATTGTTAGTTTAGGATTTTATACTTTCGTGTTGCTAAGTGTGCAGAGCGTCTGAAATTGGAACTATCACCGAAGTGCAAGCAGAGTGAAACCGAGCTTTAAAAATAAAAAAACAGCAGCAAACACTCGCAAGCAAAGCACCAAAGTGCTAAAAAGAAAGACAAAAGCTCAATTAGAGGTTGGAGATAACGTCTACACGTCAAGCACCAGTAAGACGAGTAAAGCGTTTTCGTTAAACCGCTGTGAGTATTTCTCCATTTGGTATTTTGCTTTCATAACTTAGTGCACAGAGTTGGAACTTTTTGTGTGTGTGTGGGTAGTGTATGCACGGGCGCCGTTCTTGTCACCTTGAATTATGGAGCTTGGACCTTGAACTAGAAAGGGTTCTTAGGAGACTTGGGGCCTCTGCTCATGTTCCTAGGCTTGAATATTCATATGCATGCATTGAGCCATTAGAGATGGCAAATCCAGATGTCCCGAATGTGCCTAACCGGACCCTTAAGGATTATTTCACACCCACTGCATATACATCACCATCATGCATCCAATTACCCAACACCACTGCTGCTCATTATGAGATTAAGTCCAGCACCATACAAATGCTCCCATCATTCCATGGACTAACTCATGATGATCCTTACAAACATTTGAATGAATTTCTGGAAATTTGCTCAGCAGTAAGGATCCTGAATTTCACAAATGAGGCCTTAATGTTGCGATTGTTTCCATTCTCATTAAAGGATAAAGCCAAACACTGGCTGAATTTCTTACCTACTAATTCAATCACAACTTGGGACCAATTACAGCAACGGTTCTTGAAGAGGTATTTTCCCATAGGTAAAACCAACCAACTTAGGCGAGCCATCACAAACTTTGCTCAAATGGATGGCGAGCAATTCCATGAGACGTGGGAAAGACTTCGAGACCTTCTCCAACAGTGTCCCCACCACCAAGTGCCTGATTGGCAACTTGTTCAAACATTTTATTATGGCTTAATTGAGCCACACCGCCAAATGATGTACTCATCCTGTGGTGGGACATTCATGTCCAAAAATGATGCCAAGGCATGGCAATTATTTGAGAACCTAAGTGATAATTCCCTTCACCATACCTCCGCAGCTCGGTAAGTCCGGCAACCAGTAGTTGGAGCCCCGAAAAGAGGGGGCATTTATGAGGTCGGGCAAAACCTAGAGTTAGCCGAACAAGTAGTGGCACTGTCCCACAAAATAGACCAATTATTAGCTGTGGGACATGCCCCTACCCAGCAAGATTAGCCTCAATTTCACGAGGCATGTGTTATTTGTGCGAGCCCTGCTCATGACTTGAGTGAGTGCCCTTCGGCATCACAATTTCCGGAGTTAGTCCAAGAGCATGTGAATACGGCTCAAGGATTCTCCAACCTGGGTAATGACCCATACTCCAATATATATAATCTGGGATAGAGAAATCACCCCAATTTCTCATAGAGACCTCCTTCACAAGGCACTTCTTATAATCCTCCACCATCAAGGCAGAATTTTAATAATTTTGCCAACCAATCGTCCTACCGACCACCGCAACCTTATCGACCCCCACAACCGTATCGGTAACCACAACCCCCGCCTGTTCCTCAGGGCAACTCTGCCTTTGAGGCTCAGGTGTTGGAAGTTCTAACAGAACTTAAGGGGTTAACACCAGTAGTTCACTCCCATACTCACTCTATTGCCAAGCTAAAGGCCCAATTGGGTCAAATAGCTAACAACATGAATCGGAGAGAGGAGGAAAAATTACCAAGTCAAACTATGGCCAACCCTAAGGGACAATACGAGGCAGAGAGTTTGTATGGGAATGGAAAGCACCATCAGCAGGTGCAAGCGGTGATTACTTTGAGAAGTGGGAGGGAGTTAGAGCCTCAGTTAGTTGCGTCTGATGCAACTAGAGCTAAGAAGGGTGACCACGGTGGTACACCCAATGAGAACAAGGGTGAGGGGGAAACACTTAAGAGGGATGATAGTCCCTAACACTTCACATGAGCCCAAGGCACCATATGTGCCTAAGGCACCATTTCCCCAATGCCTTGATACACCGTCACCTTTTAATAAGAATGCGGCATCTATGGAAGCAATGATGGAGGTCTTTAAACAGGTAAAAATCAACTTCTCCCTGTTGGAGGTGATTAAGCAAGTACCCTCCTATGCCAAATTTCTGAAGGACCTTTGCACGCAAAACTGTAAATCTAGGACACACGTGTCCCAAAAGGTCCTACTCACGGAGCAAGTAAGCTCCATCTTGTTGAATGACACACCTCCTAAGCTTAAGGACTCGGGTGTCCTAACCATTGCATATAATGGACCATTTCATTGATAGGGCCTTGTTAGATTTAGGGGCTAGTGTTAGTTTGTTGCCGTACTCTGTGTAAGAGGAATTTGGGCTTGGCGAGTTGAAGCCCACTACTGTCACTCTTCAGTTGGCTGACCGGTCCCTCAAAGTACCATATGGCATGATTGAGGATGTGCTAGTGAAGGTCGATAGGTTTTACTTTC